TTCTGTTCCGTGTAAATGTCATAATCTGGACGTGGACTTTGTATAATGTATTCGGGTTATTTGGTTTTATTTTGTTTAACGACTTAGCTCTGACCCCTACACCAGATATGACCATCACATTGGACAAGGTGACCATTACACCATATATAATCATCACATTGGACAAGGTGACCATTACACCAGATATGACCATCACATTGGACAAGGTGACCATTACACCAGATATGACCATCACATTATTTCAAACCAGCCAAAATAAATATGTTAAAAACTTATTATATATATATATCCAAAAAATACCTAATATATCACAATTCAATTTCAATTCAATTTATTACCAAATGCACATTGCATATAGGCGTACAGAAATATACCTATTGATCAATACTTCACAAATATCGTGTACAATGGCGGAGAGCATATGCAACAGATTCAATTCCATACACAATAATTACAAATTCATGAAATAGTAGGGGAAAACTTGAAGCTTTTCCTAAGGTAACTTAACGGACTCTTATGAAGCACAATTTAGTTGTTTATGAAATAGTACAAATAAAGCCTTAATCTAACCAAATTTCTAGGAAATAACAAAACTTCAAAGTCAATCATACAACCTCAACATGAAGGTAGAACGATTACTACACATTACATAATGAAATGAGATTATAACTCTTTGTGAAGTAAAAGACATAGATCTCAATCACATTATACAGTAACAAAACGTTTATATCATAATATACGACTTCTCTTAACAGTTGCTTGAATCAAGTACTTACTTAAATTTCTAATAAGCTTATATTGTTTTGCTAGACAGAAGCTCTACCTGTCTATAACATTCATTCACCTATAACTAACATCTGTTTATAACTACTACCTGTCCACCTGTATGTGGAGGCATGGTAGACTAGTGGTAGGGCGCTAGGCTCGTGACAGAAGGGTTGCGGGTTCGAGTCACTGCATGGCAATGTGTTGTGTCTTTGAGCAAGATGCTTTACTCCGCTTTTTCCAGTCTACTCAGCTGTAAATGAGTACATGGTTGGGCAGTGCTAGAATTGTCGAAATCTAGCTGTGAGCGCCGAAATGGCAGCACCGGCTGTATGCTGCCCAAGGAGTTGGGAAAGATATTGGCTGGTTGCAAAGGCTCTAGAACCACGGATAATAATTTGTGAACCGCTTTGAGACGACCTACGAACAAGGCTGTTATAAAGCGGTATATAAGATCCTCGAAATATTATTATTATTTATTATTATCATCGATATTCCAAAGAGATATCACAACGAAACGTCATATCATTGATACAGTACAATGACGGTCGACCCGGTCGCTTCATTCTGACAATGGGATGCCCAGAAGTGTTGTTACATTTTCCTTGGATGAATATATATATACCCAACATAGTTTATACATTATGATTGGAAAATATATAACTCGGGATTCGAAAATGGGGGGGGGGGGAATAATCAACTCGGCGGCAATCGGCCTTCGTTAATTATGTTTTCCAACATTTTCTGACCCTCGTTATATATCTTTTGAGAGAGAATGAAGCAAACCGTCGCTGTTGATAGACTATTAGGTGAGGTGTAGACTATGTCCGTTGTCAAATCATCTATTGGTCAGTATGCATAGATTACTCGGCCTCGATTGAACTATTGTACTATTGTGCCGGTAGAAATATTAGCCGTTATTTTTAATTGCTAGTACAACCCTGTGGGGTAACTATTCAAAATCAAACTCATAATCTATACTACGGCCATAGATAATTCAATGGACGTGCTGTATTCTTTGAGAAATCGGTTGGGGTTAAATCTGTGTACGATGGGAGCTACCGATAGGGCCACGAATTTATTTATTCCGCTAGAATTTAAGGGTCCAACTAAGTAACTTTAAACAAAGTAACAGATGTGACCAGGGAGACACCAAGATAACAAGAGGTGACCAGGGAGACACCAGGCTAACCAGAAGGTGAACAGAGAGACCGCAGGATAGCCAGATGTGACCAGGGAGACACCAGGATACCCAGATGTGATAAGGGAGACACCAGGCTAACCAAATGTGACCAGAAAGACACCGGGCTAACCAGCGGTGACCAGAGAGACACCAGGAAAATCAGAGGTGACGAGGGAGACACCGGGCTAACCAGAGGTGACTAGAGAGACACCAGGCTAACCAGAGGTGTCCACGGAGACACCAGACTAACCAGAGGTGACCAGGGAGACACCGGGCTAACCAGAGGTGACCAGGGAGACACCAGGCTAACCAGAGGTGTCCACGGAGACACCAGGCTAACCAGAGGTGACCAGGGAGAGGCCAACCGGAGATGACCACGGAGACAAGACACCGGGCTAACCAGAAGGTGACCACGGAGACCCCAGGCTAACCGGAGGTGACCAGGGAGACACCATGCTAACCAGAGGTTTCCACGGAGACACCGGGCTAACCAGAGGTGACCAGGGAGACACCAGGCCAACCGGAGATGACCACGGAGACACCAGGCTAACCAGAGGTGTCCACGGAGACACCAGACTAACAAGAGGTGACCAGGGAGACACCATGATAGCCAGAAGGTGACCAGTGAGACACCAGGCTAACCAGAGGTGTCCACGGAGACACCAGACTAACCAGAAGGTGATCAGGGAGACACCAGGCTAACCAGAGGTGACCAGGGAGACACCAGGCTAACCAGAAGGTGACCAGGGAGACACCGGGCTAACCAGAGGTGACCAGGGAGACACCAGGCCAACCGGAGATGACCACGGAGACACCAGGCTAACCAGAGGTGTCCACGGAGACACCGGGCTAACCAAAGGAATCCAGGGTGACATTATGAGACGAAATTGTACTGTAATAAATGACAGAGGTTCAATGAGTTTGGTCTCTTCCTTGATCCAAGGAACAGGACGGAAATCCTTGAACCCGCAGGGATTCCATTAGAGTCCTCACATATCAGCAATGAATGCAAAAGAACTGATTGCCAGACGTCTGAACAATTGTGAATGTAAAGATTTTATTTTCAGACCATGATAGAATAACATGCGACAGTATCTGGTATGACATGTCCTTGCTTATATATCTACCGTACAATGAGAACATAATACGTTTTAGCATATATTTATTTATATACACACAATGTATTTTATGTATTTTAATGCACACTGTAAACGGTATGCTCAATAGGTATGCTTTGGACACCAGTAAAATGTAACACGTGTGTCGTACAGAGATTACTTTTATTAGTATCATCATACTATACATATATTTATAATTAGCATAACAATATGGATTAAAAACCGTTATTTGCAATACTCTCAAAATCTGAAACAGATTTAGAGGGGATTGGGAAATAGTACTATATGATCGTAACGGCTATGGAATTAAGGAGGACATACAGAATTACTCGGTAGAAAATAGGTAAACACGCATCGGTAATTATAAGTTGTGCGTTATTAATTACCTGCTCCGAAAACAGACGTCACCGTTGTCGATTTATTGTATGAAAGGTATCGATTTTTTTAGACATAAGACAATAATCCATTAATAACGAATTCAACGTAGTAGATTTAAACCTACCCAAAGATGTTGAAGTAATGCGTAAAAAGTATATTATATCATTCTATAGCCCGGTGTGACCCAAAGCTAACATAAAAGTGGTGTTACTTTGTCTTGGCGCAAGCTTAAGGCAAACATCATGATATGGTGACGGGTGCCGGTCGGTTGTAGCGTAGGAAACCAAATTCGGAGAAAATCTGGTTTTGCGTCTTTTCTTTTTAAATTCGTGGTTTCCTGTTGTTTTGCTTATTTCTGGTTTCCGTATCTTATATTTTCGAAACCATCTTGGGATCCGATTTCAATGTCTTTGTGTACAAAGTTGTGGTGTGGGATTCTCTTTCTATTTTGAATAAATATGTACTGGTTCAGAAATTCGTTATCTTGAACATCTACATAAAATGTTAAATCCACAGGCATTTGTTTTTGTCAATAAAAATGGTCCTGACATGCAAAAGTCACATCATACTCATAAAGTTGTAAAGAGGGCGATCTATCTGGACCCATATTTTATGAAACTGTATCATGCTCAAGCATGCAGGCATTCTGTGCCCAAGCTTGAAACACGCATGATTGTAAATTAGAAAGGAGTTCGTGTTTTAATGTGGTAAGAAAGAAAAAAAATCCTCACACGTCTAAGCCGCCACTTTAACTTGTTTATTCTTAAAAATCTGTATTTTCATAGCTAAATTATGAAACTTTGCAAGTATTGTAACAACCTCATTTTAATTTCCTGGTTAGAAATATTATCAAATATTATTAAATAATTAATTTCTGAAAACTTTTTTGAAATTGTCTAAAGAACAAAAACGGAGTTCGTGTTCTCCTGAAGCCAGAATCATTACCGATATGTAAACACAGCCGCGATGTGCAATCTTTCGTTGTTTGGTGTTTTCTAAACTTAATCATTCAAGTTTACATTTAATGTAACACTCCCAAACCGCATGGAAATCTCAGCTAGCTACGGGTTTAATATTACGTTGATTTTCGATGTTTTCCCATGGCATAATCATGTTTTGAACAGGACATCCGGTTACCAGTGACCAATGGTAAGGCCAAGAGCAAATTGCCAATCTCTGTATAATTAAGACAAAAGTTTGTCCAAGCGAAACGCAGGTCAAATATAGTTAGTCTTGGCGTGATTGTTCTGTATAGAAGCCATGTTAAGTTTTTATAACATATTTGTTCCCAGTGACCTTGGAAATTGATTAAGATAATTTATTTCAACAAACTGTGTAGCCCTCCACCCCAGAAAGCTCTAATACTCTACACGGTCTCGAACGCTGTGCCACGCTCACTCCTTGCCAGTATTTTGTAATATCATTAAATGTCGTTGAGTCCAGGCCGTACCTGTGTGATACTCCACACTCCTGTTGTCATGGGCGTGTATACGTAGGGTGGATCCCATACAGTGACCTATTTTTAGACCTCTGTGTTAATACACCAAAGGTGGGTGGCTATTGCAAAATATCCCTCGTGAGAGATACACACATGTGGACGTTGACAGGTAGGAAACAGAGCTATCGACCTACAGAAAATGTCGAGAATTGCAGCGATGGACGAAGGTAAGGATTTATCTCCTAAGGTTTTACTTATATTCATGACTTGTTTATATCTTACATAGGTGTTATTTAAAGCATAATGTGTTAAAGGATACCGTCCATAATGTCGTTAGACTTACAGCACTGTACAACTGTGGATTAAGTGGATAAACAACAAACTACAGGTCATTTGGAATCTATATAATTATCAGCATTGTAATTGTAGCCGTTAACTTTCTCGTTTAAACGGCCAGTGTCCGCGTGTATATATATACAGGCCTACAGCAACTACGTATACAGTACTGTGGATAAATATGTTATCATATTTTGTGCTTGTTTATTAATTTTACATAGAAACTTACAACGAAGTGTCTAATGTCATCGACCTATTAATAGTTAAACTACCAGTGTGTATAGACTAGTAAAGTTTATTACTTCAAATAGGAATTGAACTAAATCACTCCTTTGTACAAGAATGTGATTTTCTCTTTAATGCTTATGTTGGACCAACTTTCATTGTAACAGATCAGAGTACATGTGCATTTTATTGTGTATATATATTTCTCCCATTTCCCTGTGTGTAAGATAGAGCTGTCCATGGTAAGAAAGGGGTGTAGGAAATTTCTATCTTACACCCCATTTGACGTAAGGTGACGTGATGTCACAATGGCTCAACCAATGATGTGATGTCATGTATTTGGAACTCTCCGATGCTGCAATGCAGAAAAGGCGACGTCACCGACGTGATGAAATTAAAACCTTTTACTATCTATTTACCGTACACGTTAAAAAGATGTGATACATTTTTCTGCACAAAAACTGTTTGCAAATATGGGATATGCTTAATCTGGCTGGCTGTTTCGTTTTTCGTCTAAAAAGCTCAGGGGGAAAATTGATACTTTTCAAAATGGTGGCCAGTCCAAACCCATTTTCATGGTTCCTGGGCTTATTCTGGTGGTTGGAATAAGAGAAAATTACTCTTTCATGTCGAAGGGTGTAGGATATTCCACCCTCAGGATTTTCAAATTTGGCAAAACCCCTCGGGTGGAATGTCCCTATCCTACACCCCTCGGGTGGAATGTCCCTATCCTACACCCCTGGGCATGAAAGAGTCTTATACTATTGTTGTGCATGTCTACATATTAAAAGATCGAAGTCATTTTTTTTTCTAATTTACCTCAGGCTGGAACAGATAGTTTTGTAGAAAAAGTTCTTCTAAATGTCATGAATTTTAATATTGATGTAATGTCCTGGATCTGGTAATAAGAATTTAATTCTTATCCATTTCCACAACCCTTTCTTGTATAACTCCCTGGATAAAGTAATAAAATCTTTTACCACCCTTTGTATATTATTTAACTCCCCAGATCTAACAATAAGATCTGTTGCCATGATGTTTCTCCATAGAACCTGCACTAAGATCTGCCACCATCCATTCTAGTATGTAACTCCCTGGATCTTACTAAAGATCTGTTGCCACCCTTTTTATTATGTTAACCCCCGAATCTTACAGTAAGATCAACTGCCACCCTTTCTAGTATGTAACTTTCTGGATCTTACAATAAGATCTAATGCCACCCTTTTTATTATGTTAACCCCCGAATCTTACAGTAAGATCAACTGCCACCCTTTCTAGTATGTAACTTTCTGGATCTTACAATAAGATCTAATGCCACCCTTTTTATTATGTTAACCCCCGAATCTTACAGTAAGATCAACTGCCACCCTTTTTAGTATGTAACTTTCTGGATCTTACAATAAGATCTAATGCCACCCTTTTTATTATGTTAACCCCCGAATCTTACAGTAAGATCAACTGCCACCCTTT